AAACAGCCAAACTTTCTCCTACAGTCCTTTTGACAAAAGTGAAACACCAGAAAGTTTACAAAAGGTTTACGAAGTTTACAGAAATTATTTCACAAAAAAGGAACAATTTGTGCCAATTACTGTGAAAATACTGTATGCATACCTATAGAGGCCACTGTCTATCAGAGTATCATGGGTTCTTCTGATAGTCCCTCAGTGAAACGATGCTCAATTCCTGAAAACGTTTCTGTTCACAGAAGCCCAAACAGCATTTACTATGCTACTACTCACTGGCCCGGTCTGTCCGATACTACGCTATTATTGTGCAACAAACAATTCAGAGATAGATAACAGATTACATGCCCTTTCAGCCAACAATACATATTTAACAGGCTTCGGAAGAAATCGTTTTTAGTGTTAAAATGAATTGCTTTTCCACTTGCAGTGAATTAAATATCAATAAATGTGTTACAAAAACTGTAAATATATTGTAAATCAGTTTTTTGACTTTAACCCGTGAGAAAATATTTTTGGAGAGCCCATGTCCACCACTGCCTCTATGAAGAAGGCCACTTTCAGAGTAGCCGTCGGTGAACTTCTCTTTTGCCACTGCCACTGCAGGAGACCTCCCTCCAAGATGTTGGTTCTTGAGATTTGGATGCTGAATTGCTTTTCTGTGTCAACTCCTCGGCAAATGGAGTCCAGTATAACACCAACACTGCCATGAAATAATAACACATTTTAATTACAAGCTTGAAAAACAACAATGTGAGAAGACAAACATTTATGTACTGCAAACATTATGACTGTTGCCCCACTTGTTTCAAGATCTTCTTTTCCTCTCATATCTGGTATAAAAAGAGAAGTATGCTATGGTAGTCATGGAAAGAACAGCTGTAAGTACATTAATATGACTTTCTCCACATGTGCTTGCATGTATTTCCAGAAATCGTGTTGTGAATTTCATGAACCCGAACATGGAACCTTCTGACACAAATGATTTTTGAATTATTTAACACTATCTCAAAATATCCATTATTGTTAGGTATTCCTCAGTAAAATTAAATATAAAGCACCTAGGTGTGTCTTTATCATGGCAAACAGGTGGTGCTGTCAGAGAAACAAGCTGGACCTCACTTTGGCATGTCAGAGCTATAACCACTGACCAACAGATATTCTGTTATGTTAGATGTTCTGTTATGTTATACAGTGTATCGCTAGTTACCTCACTACTGTCTGTTGCTGACTGAGACGCCATGTGCTCCTGAATGTGCAGGGCCAGAATCAGCAATGGGAAACTCACTTTGCACCTTTGGAATATTTATGAATTCAGTTAAAAATAATGTTAACGTTAAGCTCTATCATGGGACATTATTGATTGCCTTTGAATTGTGATTATTGTCATGAAAGGTCTGTAACTGCCTGAAAAACAACACATTCTCTCTGGTGTATATTTTATCCACACCAGTCACTTGACTATGTAGTGTAAAAAATTCCAAGTGAAAATTTTCCTAGTTCCCATATTTACTGAAGGCAGCATGACGATGGGCACCAACCTTGACCTTGACCTGTGATATGTCACTCATGAGACCCCAGCCACCTCTGTTAATCCCACCACCTGCGCCAAAACAGGGCCATAAGTCTGAAAGTGAAAGGAAAAACTCTGAAAGAGAAAAGATAAGATTTGAAACTGAAAACATTTATGTAGTTTAAAATGACATTTTAACTGAAAAACTATTCATACACTATTTGTTTTTCAGTTATGGTTCTGTTGTTCATACTGACAAAACATATGGCCCCATTTGGCTCCATATTGGTTGATGATGACTTATTGTCAGAGAAGCTGAATACAGTACTCTATGCATTATATACATACACTATAGCCTGCATTATATATTACTCATGATGTCAGATTCATTATACTTGTGTGTTTGTGCAACCTAAGAGTCATATGTATGCAGTGATAGTTCATTCTTCATGCAGAGATGACATGGAAGGAATGGGACATCAATCTGCTGCAAGCTGGTTGTTCAGATGCACACACACACACACACACACACACACATACATGTCTTTATGCCTTTGTGTGGCCCAC